AATCGCTTGTTATGCATCAGAGAGTTGGACAATGACTAGGGAGGACAGAAGGAGAGTAGATGCTTTTGAGCTGTGGTGCTGGAGAAGGGTACTGAATGTACCCTGGACTGCCAGGAAAACAAACAGATTCATCTTGGAGAGGATTAAACCAAGCTGCTCCTTGGAGGCAAGGATTCTGGGGCTTCGTCTGACATACTTTGGACATGTTGCCAGGAGGGACGGGTCCTTGGAGAGGGACATCATGCTTGGGAGGGTGGAGGGACAGCGCAGGAGGGGAAGACCCTCTATGAGATGGATTGATTCGGTCGGTGACTGGGGTAATCGGGATGGGTGTGTCAGAGGCGGTGCGGTTGGCACAGGATAGAGCAGGGTTTAGAGTTGTTGTGCATAGGGTCGCTATGAGTCGGAAACGACTCGATGGCACATAACAACAACAACATATATATATATCTTTATATTTATATCTTCATAAGATATAGCCAATAGGAGCCTCTTAAGACACACTCTCTTTTCCAGTTTCTGCTTGTTTTATATTCAGGAAATTTTTGTTCTGATTCTTTTATACATCTATCATGTTTTATTACAGTATTAGTTTTCCTTTAGAGATAGTGTTCCTAGGAAAATACCGGAACATGTTTGTTAAAAATCAGGGGGGTTTTGTACAGACTATTGCTTTAAGGGATTTGTGAAAATGCCATGTTTATTGCTGCTTTGTTCACAATAGCAAAGAGTTGGAAACAACCCAAATGCCCATCAACAAACGAAGGGATAGAGAAGCTATGGTATATTCACATAATGGAATACTATGCTGCATTGAAAAACAAGGAACTCATGAAATATTATTTAAAATGGGTGACGTGACCCAGGAAGACATTATACTAAGTGAAATATCTCAATCACAAGAAGAAAAATACTGAATAGTACTATTGTTGTAAAATGAAACTGACATTGGTGTTAGGGGGGAGCCTAAGAATAGAGGGGATAAATAATCTATACCACATTGAAACAGATGAGGGAGAAAACTGTTTAAAAGGAATATATGATTCGGTATTATATTCATGACAACATTCCAGAAAAAGAAATGCAAAGTGGACTGTGGACTTGGGGGGGTGGGGGGAGATTGTATAACAATGAAAGAATTTTTTTTCTTTTCAGTGAGAAAAGTGAACAGGGGAGCAGGGAGGAATATGTGCAACAATGAATGACTGGGGGGAAAATTAAAAGGGAAGAAAATGCTGTAAAATATATGTTGCATCAAAAAAAAGCCGTATCATCTCCACGTTAAAAATGTATATCAAGGGTTTTAATGTGTTTGATCCAATGGTCATGTTTTAAAATGTAATAATTTTTCTAGTGTTCTTAGTACTAAACTCTACCAAGAGTTTATTGAAAATAAAACTAAACCAATGATTAGGAATTATTTGCATGACAACAGTCCAGAATAAGAGATGTATAGCAAAGTGGACTTGGGGGTGGAGGGAGAGAGGAAATTATGCAGCAATTAATGACTTTTTAAAGAGAAAAAGCAAACTTCGGGCATTGAGGGATATGCAATAATGAATAAGTGGAAATCCAAGTTTTCTGTAAACTTTCATTGAAATCACAATAAAATATTGTAAAAAAAAAAATAAAACTAAATCCACTATTGTCAAGCCAATTACAATTCATAATGGCCCTGTGGGACTGAGTAGGATTTCCAAGGATATAATCTTTACAGAGACAAAGATTCTCACCACTCAGCAAATTGGCAGCACCATGATGGATGGAGAAGAGACTGAGGTTTTAGCAATATCCGTTTGCTTGGCTTCACAATCAACCAGCAGTTGTGAAATCAAAAGACAAATTCCTTTGGGTAAATCTGCTATCAGGGAATTCTCCAAAATGCTAAAGAGCAATGATGTCAGTCTGGAAACTAAGGTGTGCCTGGGCCAGCCCATGGTCTTCACAATTAACTTGCCTTGCAGCAAATAACTGGACAATGACTAAGGATGACAGAAGAAGAATGTATTACTTTGAGTTGTGATGCTGGAAAAGATTATTGAACATTCCATAGACCACCAGAACAAATGGGTCTGTCTAGGAGACAAGACATGGCAAAGATTTTGACGCTCCCTCTCATATACTTTGGGCATGTGACCAGTCCCTGCAGAAGGACATATCATGTTTGGAAGGGTAAAGGGACAGGGCAGGAGAGAAAGACCTCCAGCTAAGATAAATTGACATAGTAACTAGAGTTACATGTATCAGAGTCAGTAAGACTGGCTCAAAATAGGACAGGGCTCATAGGGTCTCTATGAATCAGGGGTGACACCATGGCACATAACAAAAATCTTTATAGAAGAAGACTGCCTTCTTTTCTCCCACAGAGCAACTGGTAGGTAGATTCAAACTGCCAACGTGTGGCCTACTAGCTGAAGATTTAACAACTGCTCCACCAAAGAGTTTACAGAGTGAAGATTAATGAATCTGATTTGGGGGAAAATTTTGGCTTTTTCTTATAGCAATACAGGGTATAATGTCCACTTCACTCCCTCTCTCTCAAAAAAAAATTATTCCTTTTACATTTCAGTAAATAAAGATAAAAAAATATGACTTGACCAAAACATTCATAGAAAAAAATATTTTTCTTATTTCTATCCAAAAAGTCCATTAGCATAAAATGAATTACATTCATAATTGTTATATATTTTTCATGCTGAAGTTGGTTGGATACTGATAAGTTCTCAACAAGACTTCAGAACAAATTTTCAGTACAGTTTTACATGCATAGCAATCTTTCATTTGCATTAATTCCATTTTATAATTCTCTTTATTCTTAAAAAGGAAGCACTGGTGTCTTGGTCCCTAGAGAGCTGTCCTTCTAGCCCAAAGGCCCCACTTTTCTAGTGCTTCAAACTCACCAGCAGCTACACAGAAGTAAGATGGAAAATTTACTCATGTAATTTCCCCTTGGAAACCTAACAAGGTTCAGCTATGAATGAATTCCTACTTAATGGCAATACATTTTCAGATATTCCTAAAAAGTAGTCTGTAGAAAATTCATATATAAAAATATTTAATTATGTTTTTGAATAATTTTTATTGTGATTTGAGTGAAGAATGAGAGAAAATTGAATTTCATTCAATCATTTATATATGTATTTTTATCTTTCATTTCAATACCCACTATGTCATTTCACTTTTCCTGTTGCCCCCCTGTAATACTGATATTCACTAATCTTCCTATACCACTTTGTGTGTTTCATCTCATTAGTGATTTTACTGATAATCCAATTACGGTATTTTGCTTTCTCTTCACTCATTGCAATATTTCAAAATTGTCATACAAAAATTGTCAAGGACATTTATGATGAAATTTTTAGTAAAAAAATTATCATCTTCTGATTTAAATTTTTTTTGAACCCTGATTACCAATTCTGGGCTGGCTTATATTGTTCAAATTATTGTTTGTTAAAATAAAACAAGTGATTATTTGGGGCTTTATTTCAAAGCTCCCACTAGAGTACATCCAATTAAAAATAAATCTTAAATTCCAGATAATGAATGGCCATTTTATTGTTTTCAAGTAATTTCTTCTCTTCCTTCTGTGTTTTCTTTTTATAGGCAGTAATTTACTTTCATTAAAACAGTCTTTATAATCCAAATGTTTACTAGTGAATTGATCATTCCCTGGGTAAATTATAATTTAAGCTATATTAATTGTATGTTTTACTTATATGTAGAACTGGAGAGAAAAATTAATTTCTGGACTTAAAATGAAACTAGTTCTTCCTATTCTGTGTTGCTTCAGCTGAGATGTCATAGCTAAAGATTATCAAATAAAAAATAAGCATTTGACTTCACAAAAACAATAATGCAGAGTTCTAAAATAATGTCTATTGCATCATTTCCACTTCCTGTATTTTTCTAAAGTCTATGGTATGTTAATTTCTGATATAAATTATGACTACTTTAGCAAACCCAGGAATTATCATTCCTATAAACCTTAGTTTTACAAATATCAAAGAAATATACCATGGAATAGATAAAGTCAGTCACAAAAGAACACATGTTGAATGCTTGCACTTTTATAAAAAGGCAAGAAATTATATGTATCCTGAGGCCAGGCCCATTGGTGATTTCCAGGAATGAACAGAGGGAAGAAAGGAGAAGCACTCTACATATGGTAGACAACTGTGAATTTATATGATGGAAAACTAGCACTGAATATGGGTAAAATGCACACAGCTTCACCCAGGGAAAATCATGTCACTAAGAAATGCATATGATTGAAGAATGTAAAGGACAAATGTCATTTTGCAACAACCAAATAAATATGTAATGCACAAACATATATAAAGATAAATAATGTCCATAAGTATGAACATGTGGGTACATATGCATACCCACAGATGTTGTTGTTGTGTTATTATTGTTAGGTGCCATTGAGTATGGCCTATCATGACCCTGAACTCTGTCTTATTCTGTGCCATCCTCAGAGTTTCTGACACAGTAGAGTCAATTACCACAATCACTGTGTCAATCTACCCGGTCAAGGGCCTTCCTCTCCTTCACCAACCCTCTACCTTCTGAGTATCATGTCCCTTTCCAAGCAAGAGCTCCTCCAAGCAACATCCCCAAAGTATGTGAGGGGAAGCCTCATTCACCACTCTCCGCTCTGAAAAGCCGTCTGGCTGTACTTTCTCCAAAACAGATTTGTATGTTTGTTCTTTGTGCAGTCCATGGAATGTTAAGTACTCTATCTGCTGCATAAGCAGTCATAATAAACAATAAAATATTCTTTTTAAGGAAGATAAATATGCCATGCAAGTTTTTGTTGCATAATAAATCAACTTTAAAGATATTTCCCCGTTGTTTGATTATCAAAAATCCTAAAGCAAGGTTTTGTGGTCTATTCTGGAAAAAAACAAGCATTGTATTCATAGCTTATTTTATGAAATATATATGTGTCAAGAGTAGCACAATACTCTTTTACCTATATGTTGTCATTGTTTCCATAGCTCAAACTTCAAAAAAAACCTCCCCCCACCATGGCACCATAACCCCTGACTCTCAAAACCCACCAAAAGCAACAGAAACAGTGCCAGAGCAGAAGGAAACAGAGACTGCAAAAGAAGACAGCTCAAGGTAAGAATGAACTAACATAGCACATGTTAAAAATACTGCCCAGCCTTCATTATTCAAAAACTGAAACACCTCTTCCTGACTTTAGTTGAGCAAAAGAAACCCTTCTCCTTTCCTCCTTCCTCTGCTCCTCACCTTTCCACTAGTTGCTTATCCGATACTTTGCCTTTACAATGATAGCACAACATCTATTTTGTGAATTCATGATGTACCTCTAGCAGAATAACAAATGTCAAGGTTAGAGATGAAAATAACATTGACTCTGATGGTTAAGTGTATGTGCCATCCTAAATGGACCATGATTTTCAGTAATCTGGCAGCTATGTAATCATTCACTTCTCATGTATCTTATGATTTGATAGTCAATCCCCCTTTTTTTAAATCCTGGTTTTTGCATAATGACTTTGTCTCTGGAATATAGCCACATTATGTGAAGAGTTAGCATAGATACATGTCACAGAAAAAGTCAAGACTACCAGCTTGATTCTGTCCATTTTCTTGTCCCTTATCAGCCAAGTATGAATAGTAAGCAAGATTTTGAGACAATCGTTTTTCCGTAGGTCAAATCATAACAACCCAAGCAATGCAGTCACATGCCTGAATCATTAGCACCTTCATCTTCACAGAAAACCTGTGTATTTACTAAGCTTGTGTTTTATAGAGAAGAAATTGAAATGTGTCTAATTCTTTTCCAAGCTCACACAGAAATAGCTATTCCATTTCCATAAATATTTTATCGTTCCAGAAGATTGATTATTATTTCCTCTCATCTGCTAAAGAGTATGTGGCATGATAACCAAGAATAATTACAGAAACTAGCAATCTTTATGCCATTGGAGGAACACAGTTTTATAAATACTTCCAACTAAAACTACTGGAAATGTCACAAAAAAAAAGATGGCAATTTAAAAGTGAATCACTAAATCCACAATAATTCCAACCAGGAGGTCTTTCATCATGCCACATCTTGGCGTGTTATTTTGTGCTTGCTGATCCGATTAGAATTGCTTAACTGTACTTAATATGATTGCAATAGACTTGTGAAATAATAAAAGCATATATTGCTTATTTAAGAAGTAAGAAGTGCTGTCATTTAAAAAGAAACTGTAAGCATCACTCACACATATTTCTCTGTCAGCCACTGTTCTAATATGTTAAACTGCAAGCTGTCAAGGAGAGATAGTGTAACTATCTAGGATCATGGATATTGCTGATTGGTTTTGGCATCAGAAAGAGCAAATTTTCAAAAACACAAATTTTGCTATTGCTGTTGTGTTGTTATGTGCCATCAAGTCACCTGCAACCATAGCAACAATAAATACAGACTTCCTCTACTCCTCACCCTGCGCACACACACACAAACTATTTGAGAAAAAAGAAAAGCTGACAGAGAGAGGTTTAAACTCTGAGAAAAAGACTAGACTCTTACAACAGGGATTAGTAAATTATTTATATAATGTTGGTATTTATATATTATTTTTCAGTCCTCTAAAGAGGTCATTATTACCTTCACTCTGCAGATAAGGAACCAATGCACAAAAAGGTTAATTAGTTTGCCTGTAATAAAGGGGTCAGTTCAGCCACGTTTAGACTGCAAAAGATTAAAATTCCTCAACTGAACTTTTGTTCTCTCCTACAAATATACCCCCCTTCAATCAAGATCTTGACTTTCTGAACTACATAAGCTCTCCTTTTAGCATTTATTTCCATAAATTAATTTTTTATAATAACAAGCAGTGATCGATAGGTTTTCACAGAAGAAAAACTGAAGAGTCCTAATGCATATCTTTGGTGAATAGTCCTCTTACCCTATTATCATTTCAGAGCAGTGATTTTCTCTCATGAAATATAGAGATGAAAACCTTATCATTTCCCAGAAATAAATCAATCAGTGTATCTCAAAGCCACAAATCTCCTTGCCATAGTCAACAAAAACATGCCCAGTCAGTTGCCCACCCATTTTTGTTTTGTGCTCCTCTAGTACACAATTCATCTCCTATTCTGCCTCACCTCTGTTCCCATCACATTGGATCTATTCCAGTGTCCTATACTTGCCATTCTCCTTCTGACCACACATTTTTATACACAGTTTTCCTTTGCTTGTCTTTCTTTCCCCTCCTTACAGCTTGATTAACCCCTCTCATTCTTTAGATCTTAGCATGCTTTCTTGGGAAGCAATCAACTTCCTGAGCGGAATGCCTCTATTGTAGGGTCTCTTCCACAGTATTTATTGCTGTTGCAATCTATTTAATGATTTTCTTTCTTTTTTTTTTTCATTGCAAATACCTTTTTTTTTAGGTTATTTTTCATTTCAATGAACATCTACAGAGATTTTGGAATTCCATTCATTCATTGTTGCACCCTTCTCCCCGCACAAACCCCTCTCCCCCCCCCCCCATTTGCTCCTCTCCTTGAAAGCAAAAGAAAAACTCACTCATTGGTACACAATCCCCCCCGTAATGATTTTCTTATAGTCCACTAGTCTTATGCTCTAAACTCTATGTTTGACAAAGACTTGCGATGCATGTTTTACCATGTCTGTCACATGCTATATCTGCAGTAAAAGTTAGCAAGTGAAGTACTGAATATATTGAAAAATATAATGAATTTGTTTCTTTAGAACTTCTAGATGTTCAAAACCATATAGCTTCTTTAAAAGAAGAAAAAGCAAGACACAGGTGGCTCCCTAAGAATTTCCATTTTTAGAGTTCTTAGGAAAATTCAAGTATGGCCAATGACAGAATACTACAAACATCATGAGGAAATGGTCTCAGGTTATGAAGCTAACAATTACACTTCTTGTGGTAAAGACTGACTGCTAACCAAAAGGACAGCAATTCAAACTCACAAGCCTCTCTGAAAGGAAAAGATGAGAAAATATCTTTCCATAATCTTCACAGCCTTGGAAATAACCTTTCTGTTTATAAGCCTGCTAAGAGTGGGAATCAACTCAGTGGCAGATTTGATCTTCTTGTGTGACTTTTATCATCAGTTCTAACCTGGGCTTGCAAACTTTTCTAACTCAAAACATATTTGATAAAAAATAAACAAACAAACAAAAAACCATGTTTGATGTCTTCTGCGAACTCTTTCTACAATCTATAAAGCAAAGTTAATTGAGCTAGGCTTAAAGCTTTTGTTTTGTTGTTGGACTATTCACACTTAGGACTGCACTGAAGCAGCAACTTGAAAGGTGCACCTAAAGTTCCAGAATCACCTTTCACTAATATTGCTGGAACTCTGGCATTTCAATAACATGTAACACCTTCTAAGGTCTTCCATATTTGATCCCATAGGAATAAATGGTATTACACCTAGGACTATTAAAAGAAGAACATTTGTAAATTACCAGAAATATCAAAGCTAAAATAAATAATGTGTAAAAATAAAAATGTTACTTTAGACCAACTGAGGCTTGGCAACTAAACTGTTGGGACCTTGCCACATCCTTGGTCCTTTGTCTGCTCAGAGAGGACCAAATATCTCTTAGCCAGCCACAGCTGAAGAGACAAGTACTTGATAGGCCATTAGTATCAACTAAGACATGGGGACTAAACTATTAGTACCATGCCAATTCACTAGATTTTGTCTGCTCAGCAGGTTCAATTTCCTGCCCCCCCCCAAACCAAAGGATATAGACACATGATCAGCCATTAACACCGACTGAAACATGAGGGAGGCACTCTTGAGATCTTGCCACAACGTCAGGCCTTTTTCCTGGTCAAAGTTTCCCAGGTAGCATTCCTGGGACTTTGGCTATGCCAGGGGAAACCACCCCCTCCCAACAAACTACAGGATGGAACAAAGAAGCAGGCCCACCACAGCTGGGCAAAGGAAAAAAACCCTATATCCATGGCCCTCAAAGGACAACCAGATGAGAAGCTTGCCACAGGAATCAAGGAACAGAGCCACCACCTATACAAAACCAGCTGGGAAGATTGCCACCGGGAAACTGAATCAGATACAACACTTAAAGTCTGCAAAGAACTGACAACCAGCTACACAGTCACAAAAGACACTGACTCACACATACAGACAAGAATCACACATAATGTCAAGGAAGTAACAGAAAGACTCAAACATGAAAACAAAACAAACCTTCTCCTAAAAATGCAGGCCAGAATGCAGGCCCAATGAAAACCCTAGAGACAAGGAGACAGAAGAAATGTATTGACCTAGAGGAGTGAAGAAATTACAAATGATAGAAGAAAGAATTGAAGCCATAAATAAACAGGTACAGTATTTTAAAAATCATCACAAACAACACCGTCCTAGACAAAACAGAACTGCATGAAAATGCAATTGAAAATAGCAAAACTGAAATGGCAGAACTTTTCAACATGCCGGATGGTCAAAGAGCAGAATAAAAGAGATAGAAGAGAGAATCAGTGAGCCAGAGGCCAAGAACCTCATTGGGAACTTAGGAAGAGAAGAAAAAAGAAAGAAAAAAAAAACACAAACAAACAGAAGATTCAAGGAAAATGGAAACAAATATTATAATCATGTGGGATAAAATTTAAAATAAAATAAATGTGATTGGAAGTCTAGAATGGGACAGAGAGGCAACACTGAGAAAAATGTGGAAGAGGTACTAGAAGAACATTTACCCGTTATTACATTCAAGAAGCTCAGCAAACTCCTGATAGACTAGACCCAGAAAGAAAACCATCAAAACATCATAGTCAAATTTTCCAAAATCAGAGATAAGGATAGTAGAATAGTGAGAGCAGTGTGAGAAAATCAGTCACCTACAAAGGACAATCAATTGAATTAAGGTTAAGTTTCTCTTCAGAAACCATGTGAGCAAGAGGAAAATGGGATACACAGAAGGCTGAAAGAAAATAATTGCTACCCAAGGATCTTGTACTAGCAAAGCTGTCCATCAAATATGAAGGATAAATTAGGTCATTTGAAGAAAAGGAACTTAAGGAATTCATGAAAAAAGAACTCTACCAGAAATACAAAGGAAAGTTCTTCACACAGAAATACCAAGGAAAGGGGGA